GCCCCAAAACCCTAAACCCTGATAGTAGCCCTGAGAGTAACCCCCTAAGGAACCCTTTAAAGGAACCCCACAAAACCGTATTCTAATTACTAAGGCCCCTACATTAGCCGCTGAAGGGTCGTCGCTTGAGTCTTGTGTTGGGGCTGTGCGACGAGGGTCATCGTGAGGCGTTGGGATTTTGGATAGCCCTTGCCTCCGTGGCGAGGGTTTAGGGTTTGGGGGTTTAGGGTTTAGGGTTTAGGGGTTTAGGGTTTAGGGGTTTAGGGGTTTAGGGTTTAGGGTATTGATCATTGAGCGAAGTAATTAGCTGACTTTGTCATTTTCCGGTTTCCGGTGCTGATATGCCAATATGACTCGACTGCATTGAGACTGGAAGTCGAAACTCTCCGTCCCATGACTTCGGCAACTAAAAGTACTTGAAGCGGGCGTAAGTTCGGGTTTGTGCGCCCTCTGTAAGGTACAGTGCAGAGGTTCAAAGTTCGGACCCAAAGACACCTTCTTAAGTGCGAACTAAGCAACGGCCCTGGTTTAGATTCATACAGGTCGGATGACCAATACAGAGATCCCTAAGAAACGACCATTGGATCTTACAAAAATCCAAACAGCGGAAGACGTGATAAAGCCGTGTCGAACCCAATGGTGGCATCATCAACGTTACTATCGGCATTACGACCCAGACACCTTGAGAAAGGAACGCTGCATGCGGGCCGTCAGCATTTCCACTTCTAAACTGTACTCAAATCCTACACCCTAGCCCTAAACCATGCATGCACAGTCCAAATTCCACTGGGGGAAGCCTTCATCGGGGACAACAGTCAGTGTAATTAGCTTCCAAGTGCAAAAACGTACAGGCTTTGCAGGGCAGGGCTTAGGACTGGCTGTGCCTGAGAGTCCTGACGCCCTCAACCTCCAAACATCCCTAAACCCTAAACCCTAAACCCTAAACCCTAAACCCAAAACCCTAAACAGCAACACAACAACCTTGCAATCCTGTGAGCCTCAATTCCTATTCTAAACCCCAAACCGCAGTATCCTGTATACATCGTCACATATCCTGATGTTCAGGGTTCAAAAATTCTAACTGTCAGAAGAAGCCTCTGTAAAACCCGGAGGAGCTTCAAACCCGTTTTTAACAAAGCCGAAGGCCCTTTCTAGAGGAGGCCCTATAAAAGCCCTAAAGCCCTAAAGCCCTAAGCCCTAAACCCCGAAGCCCTAAAGCCCTACACCCTAAACCGTATTGAAGCCCTAAGCCCTGAAGCCCTAACGCCCTAAACCTTATTAAAAGCCTGAAAAGCCTATAAAAACCAAGCCTTAAACCCTATCAAAACCCAAAGCCTTAATACCCTAACGCCCTAAACCCTATCAAAACCCAAAGCCTTAATACCCTACCGCCTAAACCCTATCAACACCCAAAGCCTTAATACCCTAAAGCCCTAAACCCCGTCAAAAGCCTGAAAAGCCTTAATACCCTAACACCCTAAACCCTATCAAAACCCAAAGCCTTAATACCCTAGCGCCTAACGCCCTAAACCCTATCAAAACCCAAAGCCTGAATGCCCTAAAGAAAACCCTAAAGCCCTAAACCCTATCAAAACCCAAAGCCTTAATACCCTAAAGCCCTAAACCCTGTCAAAACCCAAAGCCTTAATACCCTAAAGCCCTAAACCCTATCAAAACCCAAAGCCTTAATACCCTAATGCCCTAAACCCCATCAAAAGCCTGAAAAGCCTTAATACCCTAACGCCCTAAACCTTATTAAAAGCCTGAGAAGCCTGAGGTTTCTTCCTAGCCTACCGGGCCGCCCATCGCCAGTGCGTATCGGCCACTCGTGTCCCGGAGCTCCTCGTACTTTACTGCTCTTAGGAATGGTGTTTTGTGTTTCTTAACTCCAGGGGATTAGATAATCTCTTAGGGATTCTGGTTTATGTTTCTTAACTCACAGGCATTAATACTAATATGTTCTAAAATTCTGGTTCTAAGGGTGAGCTAAACGCAGGGAACCGGGGCTCTGCAGGGTGTTGTGTGCTGTTATGGAGTTGTGTAGGGTTTCTAATTCTATACGGTTTTTCATAGGGTTATGTTTCGTAAGGGATGCATTTAGGTTTTTTGGGTTAACGTCAACGTGTTGTTTCGTTTGTGGTTCTAAGGTTTTTCAATAGGGTTTGTTTGGTGTTTTACAGAGCTTTGGAAGGGTCGTTGAGGGTTCTGACAAGCTTGTAAGCTAGAGTTGTGTTCATAAGGGTGCAGTGCTTTAGGATTCTAGGGTTTATGGTTTGGGGTATGCGGTGTTTATAGGGGGGTCTCGGCGGGCGGGAATTAAGAAGCATTGGGTTGTGCTGCCCGCTGGAGCAACAAGGCACATGTTTTCTTCCGTTTCAGTTTCCATGTTGTATCTATTTGGCTTTCTGCTTCGCCGCTGCCTTTCGCTTTCGTTTCCCTTTCGGGCTTCCGTCTGGGGTTCCGGTGTCGATTTCGCTTTGGTTCAGCTTTCCGTTCTCGCTTGAAGTGTGCCACTTCTGTTGCAGGTTTGTAAAGCATGCTGACTGTGGCCCTAAACCCTAAACCCTAAACCCTAAACCCTAAACCCTAAACCCTAAACCAGCACAGCCACACGTTCCCTGCCACCCGTCCTTCCCCACCCGGCCCATTGGCCCCGGGGCCCGGGCGGGTTCTGAAACCGACGCTTGAATACTAAACGGAACCGGCAGGGCATCCGAAACAGATTGAGACACCGGAACATGGAATCCGAAGATCCGATGGAATCTATATAGGGTTTCAATTGTGCAGGGTTGCGGATGTGTGTATATCATACATATATATATATATATACATAAGAAGAGTAGCCTCCTTCCTCTGATGCTTCCTAGTCTCTACCTGTGCAGCAGAACAACATTGCTACTGGTATTTTGTGTTGTTGGCGTCATTGTTGTTTCTACGGTTGCTGTTGTCATCGTTGTTGTTGCTGTTGTGGTGGTGGTGCTGGTGGTGGCGGTGGTGGTGGTGGTGCTGCTGCTGCTGCTGCTGCTGCTGCTGCTGCTGCTGCTGCCACTGCTGCTGCTGCTGGTTCTCGTGCTGCTGGTGCTGCAGCTGCTGCTACTGCCGTGGCTGGTGTTGTTGTTGTTGTTGTTGTTGTTGGTGGTGGTGGTGGTGGTGGTGGTGGTGATCGTGGTGGCGGTGGTGGTGGTGGTGGCGGCGGCGGCGGTGGTGGTGCATCTTTGCTTACTACTTCTCCGTGGCAAACGGCTACTTTCAGTACACAGACCTGGGGTTCCAAGGCCATAGCATTGCTTACATCGCTTTCGCTTTCACCGGGCCCCCGCCTGTCTCATTGTGCCTCCTGTCTCATGTTCGACAGTTGAGGCGTTTCGCCGGGCGGCACCCTTTGCTAAGTCTGTAAGGGGTGCGACTGTCCTGGCAAACTTTTCCTTTGAGCAGGCCCCTGATTGTTTCACCTTTTGTAATTAGCCGCATGCTAAAGGGCTGCGTCCGACCTGGACACAACGCCACGAAAGTGAAAGCGAATTATATTCATTCAGGTTGTGCTTCAGAAGGCCTTTGGCACTCTCTATCCGTAACCAGCTAGGCCCTAAGCGACCTAAGCCTACAAGCCTGACAAAGCCGCCTTAAACTCGTAAATGCCTTAGGAGCTGGAAGAACCCGAAGTCCTCAACCGGAACTCCCCAAAACCTTTTGAAAACCGCATAGCAAACCTGCCAGCCGTATGAAACTGTTACAACATGTGAAATGACGTTTGGGTTTAGGGTTTAGGGTTTAGGGACCCCCCACCCCACCCCACCCCACCCCACCCCACCCCACCCGACCCCACCCCACCCCACCCCACCCCACCCCACCCCCCTCAGATCACCCAGATTGAGGAAAGAGCTGGCCACCAAAGCCGTCCACTTCTCCCGGCGACTGGCCTCCTGTCCAACTAAGCCTTCCTTGAGTGTCGCGCGTTGTTTTAAAGGTCTTTCTGGGTTTAGGGTTTAGGGTTTAGGGTTTAGGGTTTAGGGTTTAGGGTTTAGGGTTTAGGGTTTAGGGAACGGTTCTTAAGATCTAGTGCTAGGGACTCCCATCTGCCTCGAAGGTTCCCAGTGCCCAGGATTCGAGAAGGATTCTACAGGGACTTTGTGTGTGTTTCAGGGCTCACGGGCTCGGTTTAATATAATGGGTCGGAATAACTAATAATCGCATTCCCTAAACCCTAAATCCTAAACCCTAAAACCCACAACCCTATTCCCTATTCCCTATTCCCTGCCAGCTCTTCGTCTCGGATCTTTCAGGTCGAAGGCCGAACCGAAGACATGGATCCGCGAACGATGTAGGGTCGTGAATAATTACCTATAATATTTTGTGGTTCCTTATTATGATTACCTATATTATTTTTTTGGGGGGTTCCTTATTATAGATATAGTATAGTGGTCCCAGAAACCCTATTATGATTATTAAGGCTCCCAAGTTAGCTAAAAGCTTTGAAAGAGAACCCCAGGGTCTTCAGCATTTGTTGATGCAGCACTAAAGTTCACGAAAGCCCATGCAAGCCTTAAACCCTAAACCCAGGGTTAGGGTTTAGGGTTTTAGGGTAACCCACCCTAAGCCCAGTTTCACCACCCCTAAACCCTAAACCCTAAACCCTAAACCCCAAACCCTAAACCCTAAACCCTAAACCCTTTTTCATGACTTTTGGGACGTGCTGCTCCTTCGGGGGGGCTCCACCGTCCGAAGGAACGAAGTGTTCTCGAGTCCCCAAAGAGCCCAATGGCCCTTTAGTTAAGGAACATACCTTAAGTTTAGGGTTTAGGGTTTAGGGTTTAGGTTTTGGGTTTAGGGTTTAGGGTTTAGGGTTTAGGGTGTAGGGGGGCCTCTATATTCTCTATATGAAAGTTTAATATTGTAATAACAATCATGATAATAGTAATTACTATAATTATACTATAATAATAGTGATAATAATTATGGGGTATTGGGTTGGAGGTCGCTATATCCAGAACCCTGAAGTGAGGTTTGGGAGACGCCTATCAACCTGGCCTTGGTGGGCACTGCCTTCGGCTTTCACGGCATGTGGCTGGCGACGCTGGAGTTGGATCCAGGCGAGGGCGGAAGGGCATTTCAGTCTAGGGTTTCGGGTACCTGCCCTTAAACCCTAAACCCTAAATCAGGCTTTGTGAAGGCACTTTGTAGGTGTAGTGCAGGGATGTTTGTTGCATGGTTTTTGCGGCTCTGGGCTTCGATAAAATTCCGCTTGCAATTAGAGGCCATACATCTCAACGCTGACCCTGAAGCCAGAAGCCCCTCAACCGTGAATTCACCGTAGACCAAAAACATGCAACGAGCAACTAGTATCGGTTCAGAATTTAGGTATTCAGTTTCTTCTAAATGGAGTGGTACACCCCAAAACCTAAACCTGGCGTAAAGCCTCAACGCTAAACCCCCAGACGTGGCAAGGTCGGAACTGGCTGCCCGTGGGCTGTGGCTTTCACTTCCCGAGGGCTAAGCTTACCATACGAGCCTTAATGATTACTACTGTTATTCCTGAGGGTTCCTTGTGATAGCTATAGTACAATGTACACTAAAACCCTGTTCTAATCATTTTAAACCCTAAACCCTAAACCCTAAACCCTAAACCCTAATCATTTTAGGCTTTGGCAGAGCTTCGGGGCGCACAAACCTCGAAACATGAATCTACATGGTGGCTGTCAAAATTATGGTCCCTTTTTGGGTCCTTAATATAATACGGCACCTATTATTTAGGGTACCCAAAAAACGGGCCATAATTTTGACAACTACCCACGTGTCCTCCACCTCTGGCAGAAAACGGTGGACGCAAAGACGAGGGAGCCCGAGAAACCATAGCCATGGGATTCCACGGATAGCTCTCAGGGTTGCGGGAGCCTACAGCTTTGAACACTGAAGATCCCCAACCTGAATAAGGTGGTTCATGCTGTTTCATTCAGGGTTTAGGGTTTAGGGTCCTGAACCCTAAACCCCAATGCGCTGACCACCTCGATGCCCGATTCCTTTCACCCCCCCCCCCCCCCCAAAGAAAGGCCAAAGCTACTCCGAATTCAGCATCTTCCTGGAACTCGGCTTTCTGTCCCCTGGCTTGAGGAATTGGGAGATTTAGGGCTGAGGGATGAAGAGGGAATTTGGAGATTAAGAACTTGGGATCAAGAGGGTGGGGGTTTGCAGGTTTTGCAGGGATTTTACAAGGGTTTCCAATATGAGTTTCCAGGGTTCTCGGTGTTCCAGGGCTAAGGGTTTAGGAAAGGTCAGGCTCTGGTTAGGACTCTAGGCATTTGTGGCATTCTGGTTTGGGGTTGGGGGATTTATCAGGGGTTTGGGTGAGCGTTTCGGGTTTTGGAGCACCTGCTTTGCGGCTTTTGAACGACTGAGGCTGGCAAAGATTTTCTTCGGCTTTAGGATTCATTGTTCAGGAACTAGTTTGCAGAGAACATTTCATTTGGCGTTGCCTGTATTCATAAAAGAACTGCTCCTGGGCACAACTACTCCTCTAGAGTTTGTGGATGTCCCCGTCGTTCTTTCAAGCCTCACAACGCCGGGCACTGCAAGACCCTCAGCCGCTGGAGGAGTGAGATTGTAAGTGGTGAAAATATCTGTTCGATATGTCTACCTATATGTCTGTAAAGCTGTATACATATATACAGACACGTGTCTATATACCTATACATCTATATGGCTAGAGCACAATGTCTCTATGTCTCTCTGTATCTATAGATCGATATTTCTGTATGTCTGTATCTCTGCATCTCTATGTCCTATATCTCCACCCACATATTTCTCTGCAGCTCTATCTATATCTCCATCTGTAACCACATACATAACTATGCCTATACCCATACTTATACCTGTGCTTATACCTATATCTATGCTCTATGTTTGATCCGCTTAAACTAAGCCCAACTTGGGAGTTTATAGCCTGACTTGCTAGGCCCCTGAGCTCCCCAACAAACCTGAAGTATGACAGTCTGATGAAAGGCCGAAAGAGAGAGTGTTTAGGCTTAGGGTTTAGGGTTTAGGGTTTAAAAAGAGCAGCTGAAGGATTAGCGCGACCCTGTCCTTGACCAACTGCGCCCGCTTCGGGCAGCTGCTGTCCCTGATGGAGTACGAGCCGCTTGGATCACGAGGGCTTTACTTGAAGAGAAACCACATAAGGGTTCCACATGCGAGTTTATGGCGCTCGAGGTTTGCGAGTGTAAGACTTTTGGATGTGGTTTAAGGAGCAGTGGACGTAGTTTGGCAGATGCCTTTCTCAAGTACATAGAATCGGGGCTCCAAGTAGGTACAAGTAGAGGTACTCTATGCATACCTTTATATCCCTGATGGCGTTCAAGGGCCTCTATTGTCCTTTGACTCTTCCGTTAGGGCTCAGGTGTTTTGGGAGTCTGCGAGGGCCTGCCTCTGGGAATAATATAGCGGCCTGAAAAATTAGAATAGGGTTTTGGGGTATATTATACCACCATAATTATAATGAGGAACCCCCCCCAAAACCTATTCTAATTTTTAAGGCCCTTACATTATTAACGCCTATAAGGCTTCTGCGAGGAGGCCACAACCTCCGACTGCACCCGACTTCCCAGAGAGCCCAATACCCCTTAAGTAAGGAAAATACCTTATATCATAAATTAGGGCCCGCTATAATTTAAGGTATATTCCTTAATTGAGCGGTAAGTTGGGCTCTCTGACATCTTTGCCCTGTGAGGACACCAGGTGCACCGCGTCGGACCAGCAGTCAGCTGAAGGAGTTGCCTACAATGACTTCCATAAGTCGGGGTTGGCGTTGGCGTTGCGAAACCCTAAGGGAACCCCTAAACTTGAACCCTACTTGGAGGATCATGGGACTTAGTATCTAGGGTTATAAATAAGGTAACTATAATTATAACCCCAATTAGGGTACTTATAACCTTACTTACTAAGTCCCATGATCCTCCAAGTAAGCCCTGAATCCTCAAGGGCATTAACCCCGGAATCCTGAAGGGCTCAGTGTTGAGGGCTCAAAGCACAGAGTTAGGGAGTGTTTAGGGTTTAGGGGTTGAGGGTTTAGGGTTTAGGGATTAGGGGTTGAGGGTTTAGGGTTTAGGGGTTGAGGGTTTAGGGTTTAGGGGTTCTGCTTTGGCGGGGAACTCCTGGCGGATATGTGTCTCGAGTGATGAGGCTGCCGTGGGACATTGAAACCAGCACCAGAGCAAGAGACGTTCAAAGTCTTGTTTCTAGGCGAAGAAACTCAAGCCCCAGACGATACAAGAACCTGTAAACTGCATGAGCCACGGGCTTGGCTATTTGGTCTTTAGGTTGTTCCTTGAGTCGAGGGCGGGAGGATCACCTCCTTTACCTTTCCTTCGTCCTAAACATCCCTGCAAGCCCCAGACCCCGAAAGAGTTCACGGCTTCGACATGGCCAAGACCATCCTTAGCCTTTCATTCTGCAGCGCTTCTTCATCTCTGCGGGTTTGTGCTTGTGGAGGTGTCACTTCAGCACACGCTTCCGAATCCAAAAGGCTTGAAGAAGTACGCCGTACACCGTGCGTGAGTTTGGCCCCTACGCCTTTTCTTTGATATCCCATTACAACATATTCTAGTTTACCATGGTCATTCATTGTATATTATGGTATATTGCAGTCAGTATCTTATCGTATATTTATAGTATATTAAGGCATACTATGGTGAATTGTATATTGTAGCACATGACGCCACATTATGGTAGATCATGGTATATCATCGTAGGAGCAGAGAATCAATGCAAGACCGAAGCTACCGGGGCGAGGAGCTCAAGCGGAGTTTCAGCAAGATCCTGACCAACAAGCTGGGGAAGCTTGCCTGTAAGGCTAGATTATGACTGCTTTCATTTTTCTATTTGTTTTATGATACCATTTTTACTACTGTTATACTCATACTATTATTGCCACTACTACTACTACTACTACTACTACTACTACTACTACGACAATGTCTGCAACTGCTGCGGATACTGCTGCGGCTACCCCCACTGCCACTGCTACTGCTGTGTTATGGCACTCGCACTC